GATCCTGGAGCTGAGGCTCCAATACTTTGGCCATCTCATGAGAAGAAAAGACTCCCTGGAAAAGACCCTGATGTTGGGAAAGTATGAAGGCAAGAGGAGAAGGAGACGAGAGTGTTGGACACTGTCATCGAAGCTACCAACATGAATTAGACCAAACTCTGGGAGGCAGTGGAAGACAGGAAGGCCTGGCATGCTCTGGTCCCCGGGGTCATGAAGAGTCAGACACGACTTAACGACTAAACAACAACAACCACTAAATGAGCAGCTGCTTAAAAAACTAATGCACATACGAAAATTATGTATAAACACAAAAATTGCCATCACTTGCCTTGCTGTATCACAGTCTCGCCAGCAATATAGGTGACTGGGAACATAGCATCAAAAATATCACTGAAAAAGATTTTAGAATTATTCAGCAAAAAAAAAAAAAAAACCCAAGAAATCTGAGGTTTGTTCAATATACTGTATTTCTAAATGAGGATGAGTGATAATATTTATATGAACATTTGTTTTGTTGAATTAAGCAGCCAGGTATGTTCATGTCCTACCTCTTCCTATGCTCATACAATACATACAATAGAGCCCAATTGTACCCTAATGATTTTTCTTTCTCCCTCACCTACAGCTATTCTTGCATTTACAGAAAATAACTATATAATTTAAATCCAATTATATATATTTAAATAAAATTAAAACACATTTTGCTATTCTAAGACTCCAAACCAAGGATAAAAACAAAGTTCACAGTGTAACTAAACCAATCAGGAAATGCTGGTTACATTATAAAAGAAGACAATGTATTTCTGTTAAAAAATCTAAAACGGATACAGTATCACAATATGGGTCAAAAGAACCCTAGTTATTTTGAAGTTACTGATCCCTTCTACTGACTGTTCAGCACTATTTGAACATAAGATCAAAAGATTTGGAGCTAATGTAGCATACCTTCGTTCATTGTCATCAAGATGGGCAAAAAGCACATTTTTCTCTATAGCTTTTGCCAAAGCAGCCATGGTCTTGTAATCTTTTGGAATAACCTGCAGTATGGGAAAACAGAGGTTGGATTCAAATAGAAATAGATGTCCTTTAAGTAAACCTATTTCTAATAGCAGTTTTATCCTTGATAGTGTAGTGTAGCGTAGTGGCTAAAGTGCCAGACTATGACTCAAGAGACATGCACCTAAATCCCAGTTCAACCATGAAAACTCACAGGAGTTGGCAGAGGGAAATAATACCTTTTAACATCTTATGTATTTCAGAAACCATAGTCACACACAGTTAGTAGGCATCCTTCAGTCTCGAGAGACTATGGTAATGTGCTCTGAATAGAGGTCTTGGAACAGTATCTAATGTGGCTGAGAAGGCCAATTCGAGTGTGACAATCCCTTCCACACTGAACATGGGATTTTGCTGCTTTCGGGACTGCCTCTTTGCCTCGGCCTGCTGAACAAGGGTCTCTTCAAATTGGGAGAGGCCATGCTGTACAGCCTGCCTCCAGGCTGAACGCTCAGATGTCAAGGTTTCCCATCTACTGAGGTCCATTCCTAAGGCCTTCAGATCCCGCTTGCAGATGTCCTTGTATTGCAGCTGTGGTCTCCCTCTGGGGCAATTTCCCTGCACTAATTCTCCATACAGGAGAAATTTTGGAATCGGACCATCAGCCATTCTCATGACATACCCAAGCCAACGTAGATGTCGCTGTTTCAGTAATGTATACAGTGGTGCCTCGCTTAGCGATGTTCATCCGTGCAGCAAAAATTGCCAAGTGATAACATCGCTAAGCGATTTTTAAAAGCCCATAGAAATGCATTAAAATGCGTTTAATGCGTTCCTATGGGCTTAAAAACTACCCTTATGCGAAAATCCTCCATGGGGCAGCCATTTTCGGTGATATGTCGCTGTTTCAGTAATGTATACAGTGGTGCCTCGCTTAGCGATGTTCATCCGTGCAGCAAAAATTGCCAAGTGATAACATCGCTAAGCGATTTTTAAAAGCCCATAGAAATGCATTAAAATGCGTTTAATGCGTTCCTATGGGCTTAAAAACTACCCTTATGCGAAAATCCTCCATGGGGCAGCCATTTTCGGTGATTATACAGGAGATCTTTTGGAATCTGGCCATCAGCCATTCTCATGACATGCCCAGGCCAATGTAGATGTTGCTGTTTCAGTAATATATACTTGCTAAAAATTCCAGCTCATTCTAGGACTACTCTATTTGGAACTTTGTCCTCCCAGGTAATACCAAAAATGCATCGGAGACAACTCATATGGAACATGTTCAACTTCCTCTCCTGCTATGCACAAGGGTCCAGGACTCACTGCAGTACAGGAGTGTCTCATGACACAGGCTCTATAGACCTGGATCTTGGTGTATGCCATCAGCTTCTTATTAAGGCATACTCTTTTTGCGAGTCTAGAGAACATGGTAGCTGCTTTGCCAATGTGTTTATCCATTTCGACATCTAGAGAGAGTCAGAGATCGTTGAGCCAAGGTACACAAAATCATGAAGAACCTCCAGTTCTTGTGTAGAGATGGTAATAGAGGGAGGTGAGTCCACACACTGGCCCATGACTTGTGTTTCAGGCTGATTGTTAATGCAAAATCTTGGCAGGCGGCATATAAGTTAAATAAATAAATAAAATTATATTTAATATGACTGTCGTCCTTGAAAGTGATTTCAGGCATTTTTTCTCTTACACAAAGCAATCACTAATTTCTAAAGTAATAAAAACTTTCCAATATTTTAAAAAATGGATGTTTGTGCTGTTTTGCCTACTTTCTGAAGATAGTAGGAATTGTCCAGGTGATAGTTATCATTCCTGACTGGTGCAAGATTTGTTGACATTTTTCCAGCAAAGACACCATTCAAAAACTACTGTAGGCTTTAGGAGTCACAGAATCAGCATAACCACTGCATTTTCCATGTATAAGATGACCCAATATATAAGATGACCCCCACTTTTCCAACTCCAAATAAGAAAATTTGATCACTGCTTTCCCCCTCCACTTCCTTAGCCCCGTGAAAGCAGGATCAAAGGGCTGCGGAAGTGGAGGGGGAAAGCAGCAATGAAAGGGCTGTAAGATCGCAGCCCTTTGATCCTGCAGCCCTTTCACGGTGGCTTTCTTCGCCACTTCAAAAGCCCTGTCAGGCTTATGCTGCTTTTCCCCTGAACTTCATAAGCCCCACAGGGCTTAGGAAGTGGTGGGGAAAGCAGCTAAGCGGCTGCAGGATCAAAGGACTGCAATCCTGCAGTGCTTTCATCCCTTCCCCTCTTTACTTCCATGTATAAGACGACCCTCAATTTTTAGTCTAAAGATTTAAGAAAAAATATTGTCTTATACACAAAAAAATACAGTAACAGTGTTCTTAAGGAAGAGATAGTTGATCTTGAATGACCATCAAACAAGCACAACAGCTCTCACCTCCTTGTGGCTAACATTCTTGCCTCTTGTTTTTTATTTTACCCTTCCTACTTGCTAGCATCATGGCTCTGAGGAGTTCTTAAGTGTGCTTACGGGTTTCCCATTGGTCAGCTTGCTAGCACTATGCTTTCTGTAAACTGTATACAAGTCAAAAGGATTGCAAGAACAACACTTTAGGAGTTCCAAATTCTGTTGAAATTAACTGGGCAGACATAACAGAATCAAGAGAGACATTTTGCTTTGTTGAGCCCACCTTTTAAAAACAAATAGCTCCTTACGACATATACACAAATATATGTTTCTATAAAAGAATAAAATTAAGCCATCACCAAACTAAGCATCTGTTAGTTTATGATAAACTAATGGAGAAATGCTGTATGGTATCTCACTAATTCTAAGACAAAATAAGTTTTATATGCAAAGCACAAAATACGGCATATCTGAAGGAAGAACCAGAATGCAATACCTTTCTAACATAAGAGGCAGCATCCTCTTCTGTGTAAACTTCTGCACTGATGGCACCACGCCTTCTGCGGCCCTTTACCACTGGGTTCATGGGTGGGGGTGGAGAAATCTCATCTTCACGTGAGTCTGTGCGGGAGCTGGCTTTCTGCTGACTCATAAACTGTTTTGTTTCTTCCTGTAAAGGGGCAAAATAGTTCTTCATTAACAAAGTGATACTAGCAAAACCATTTTCCTCTCTTGCTGTTACATCCATTTAAAGAACAATCATTAAGTTGTATTATGCACTGAAATCTCAGATTGTAACTTACGTATTAGAATCTCTCCTCTCATAAAGTTTGTGAAAAGTAGCATGCTATTTGTGTGTTCAGATTGATACACGGTGATAGAACGAATCAAGCCAAAATTCTCCTTTGAGGCAAAACTGTTAAAACTCAGGCTATTGTACCTTGGGCACACAAAGAGAAGGCAAGACTCACTGGAAAAGAGAATGCTAGGAAAAGTTGAGGGCAGCAGGAACAGAGGGAGACTAAGGGAAAGACTGGCTCAACAAAAGAAGCCATGGCCTTGAGTGTGCAAAAAAAGAATAGGACTGTTAGCAACAGGACCTTTTGGAGGTCACTAATTCATAGCAGCAGCACTAAGTCAAAAACAACTTGACAATATGTAATTAACATGGAACATGAACTGTTGTAGAGGATTTGAATAGTGAATTTAAAACTGTTCCAGAGGAATGTATATGAACAAGAGTGGAGTGAAATCCTACTGTTAAACCATAATTATTATCTACAGACAGTTTTTATTTTAAAGCAGAAGTAATTTTCAAATGCAATAAAGTTCTAAACTAAGCTTGCACTTAACACAGAATATAGTCAGTCAGAACCTTTATTGGCATAAACAAAAATCATATATACAGTGTAAGAACAAACTATTAATTAAGTGAATCCACAAATTCACTATGTCTTAGTCTATGACTCCTCAGGATCTGTTCAAAAAGGCAGCCACGTTCTCCACTGTAACTGACTCTCTTGCTGATGAAATATACCTCAGTGTGTCACAGCCCCTCTTCTTCAACAAAACGGATCTAAATATTTTCTGTGGAGATCCATGCAAAATGGACAATACAAATCATGTGAGAGAGTGACTCCACCCTACCCAGCTTGCAGGAGCAGCAGCTCTTGCTATATGGAATCCCACTGAATCTCCCATACAGCGCTGCTGATGAAACAGCATTGCATCTAGTAAGGGTGATGGCCCTGCATCCTGGGGACATGTTAGCAGGTAAAGATACCATGCTGGTTGACCAACTTTGATAGGAATCTGCAGGCTCATTGGTGAACAGGTCTTATTCACAACACTCTGCAGTTCCAATATGGAATGTATATGTTGGGACCAAACAGTGCTGGAAAAGACCTGAAAAGACAATAAGAACTGTTAAAATATTTCCAAATTAAAGGTTCTGAACTGCCTCTGTTCATACTTTTAAAAACTGGAATCAAGAAGACTACTTGACATTACTACTATCCTCCAAGGAGACCATAGTTTTCATAGTTGTCTTCACACAACCCACTCGGCAGCTCAAACTGAGATAACACCCAATGCAATGCTAACAAGTCTCATTGCTAAGGCTCATCACACAAATTACCGCAATGGCAGGTTTGCTGCTAGTTCCATGGAAAAGGCACAAACAGGGATACAAACTTTCTCCCAATATTTACATCTAGAACCCCCTAGACAAAATGCTAGCACTTCACATACAATTCACCAGAATGCAAGACTATCTTTTATGCCGCTGTCTATCTCTGGATCCCAGTATTCTGTTTCAGCAGAATGGAATACATTTGAGGACCTATCTACTATTCAATTAAGTGGTCAGCATGAGAATTAACTCCAGAAGAAGACAACTTATCAAATAGCACATAATAATTTTAGTTGTGACCAGATTTTCATTCCCAAGGGTGTCTCTCACACGAGTCCATTAAATTAGATCAGACTGTGCACCATTAAATATGACTCTATGACCCTTTAGGGCAAAATTAGAACACTCAAGATGAGTATTATTCCCCAGAGAATGGCTAAAATCCTGTTGTTTAATGTAGTAACTCAGACTAAAGTAGACCCAGTGAATCAGTGATGATTCAGTGAATCTTCTGTAAGTTCCATTGATTCAAATGGGCATACTCTAGTGTGGTTTATTACACTAAGAAATGAGATTTCAACCAAAATAGGAGAAATTTCTCTATATACCTTATAACTTTTTCAGAAATTGAATACTTTGTTCCAGAAACTCATGCAGGTTTCTGCAGAACTACAAATATCCCTGACAAGGATGCAGCCCTCAGCCTATGAAGATGGATTGGGTTTCCAGATATTGGTCTATATCAGTGGTTACCAACCTTGGGTCTCTGGATGTTCTTGGACTAAAACTCTCAGAATCCTTCACCACTAACTGTACAGACCAAGATTTCTGGGAGCTATAGTCCAAGAACATCTGGGAACCCGAAGTTGGGAACCACTGGTCTATATGTGAGATGAGGGGCAGAACAGAGGTGATTCCCACACAAGTGCCGTCCACTCTGCATGAGAAAGGAGAGAAGAGTCTAGATCCTGGGGTAGAGGGGGCTAGATTGAAAGGAAAGGAACTGACATCTGCCAGAGGAAAATTAAGGAGAAGAAAAGCAGAAAAAACAGGGGATGTAGGGGAGGAAGTAATGGAGCAAATGGAAAAAGCGGGAAGAAATTTCTGAGGCAATTGGGCAGCTAATGAAGGCAGGAAGAGAGGATAAGGAGGAAAAGAGTGGAAACTGGCAAAAAGGGGGCTACATATAAAGAACGACCGTCAAGGGAGAAGGTAGTTGAAGCTGGAGAGGTGGAGGCTTTAAAAGGAGGGAAGATATTTCCTCCTGCCAGGGAGTGGGTCTGACTAGAAAACTCATGGACATATAAATGGGAGAGGCTGATGGTGATATGATGCTGCACCCATCCTGATCCTGGAAGGTATATCAGATGTACAGTGCAATAAATGTAATGCCCTGACCGTTGCTGTTGCAGGTTTCTTATCTGCAATTCTGAAATTGTCCCCTGCTTCTCACTCCTAATTTGTGAAATTTGTGTAATTTTACTTTTCCTATTTTGCTTGTGTTGTTGTAACTTGTAAATGCCATTAAAGGTTTCAGAACAGAACAGTGTTCTGAACACATTTCCGAAACACGTTTACCTTCTTGACATTTGATCTTTCATAATGCACATCTAAGATAGAGCACACAAAATAGCTGAAAACAGAGATTTGAAAGGAGGCCACTGAAACACATTATACACCGATTTCCATTTTATCTATAAAGAGCAAAAAGTATTGTAAGATAATAGAAAATAGATGGTTTTTGCAAACAAGAATCTTAGCACAATCTATTTAGTAACTTTAAAATTGCCTTTTTGTTAGTACAGTGGTGCCTCGCTTAACGAGTGCACCGTTTAATGACGAATCTGCATAGCGATGTTTTTGCGATTGCAAAAGCAATCGCATAACGATGTTTTCAATGGGTAAACATCACTTTGCAATGATCGGTAAGCGTTTCACTTACCGATTATCACATAACGATGTTTTAAAAACAGCTGATTGGCGGCTCTAAAATGGCTGCCGGGTAAACAAAATGGCCACCTGCAGTGTTTTTGTGCCCTTTCCTCGCTTACCGGGCAGCGAAAATGGCGGCCAGATGGAGGATTTCCGCATAGTGGTGAGTTTCCCCATAGGAACGCATTAAACGTGTTTTAATGAGTTCCTATGGGTTTTTTTTCCCGCATAGTGACGAATCCGGATGGCATCGCTATGCGGGGCACCACTGTAAATACAAATTGACAGAATTCCTACAGTGTGTAAGCATTAACAAGTAGTAGTAACTTGATCGTTGTTTATTTTATTTGAAAGAAAAAATCCACAACCATTTAATGTGATTTTTTTAACAGCAAGCTTTTAATTTTTCTCCTTCTAAAACTAGATGCTAAGTAATTTGAAACAACAGAAGTTACCACAAAATATTGAGGGTAGCTTTCTCCAACTAATACTGTATATTTCTTCAGTATACTGAACTACCTCATATTTGCCTCATATTTTTTACATAAGCCTGTGACTGAAACTAAACCAAGTTGTTACTCCCTCAAAATACATATTACAGACATAGTCATATCTAAAAGATTCTTTACTGTAAAGTGATTTTGCAGCTCAAAGTCACTGCACATCCAAACACCAACACACAATGAAACAGCAACCCAACTCTAAATCTTTTTGGCATCCAATGAGGGAAATAATACAAAAAAGGGAACGCTAGGTTTCACTAGACTGATTTCCACCCATCTGATTGTGGGTCAGACATGTTGCTTTGCCTCAAGAATGGGCAAAAACTGGCCCTCTGTGTAAATCGTGGTATTGACTGAATCAGGGCATATTTTTAAATTTCAAGGGGTTATTATTACTTATTTAGCCGCCTAGAGTGGTCATGTTACCAGATAGGCGGGAAATAAATAAATAAATAAATAAATAAATTTTATTTATTTAAAGTACAGTATCAGCTTTTCCACCCATTAGTACTCTTGTCTTAAGAGCATTTATGACAGGTTAAAATAATTAAAATATATTTTATATATTCTTTTAAAACAGATTTAAAACATTATGCTAAAGATCAGATCTAACACCAGCCTTTCTTTGTCAACAAAACACTCTGTTCATTAAAATATTATCTTTGCACTCTTTTTGAGGTACGTAGTTGCTTCAAACTCTGAACAAAGACAGCTGCACCTGCAACTGTTACTATGATATATCAAACATTTCCCTTGATAAAGAATTTGCATAAAATACACTATATCTACAGACATATATTTTTAAACTTAAAGAAATTTCAGTGTTATTTCTTTAAAAATACAATGTATTCATCCTATATCAGGCATCAGATTTGCAAATTGAGTTGCATTTGCTAAAGTTGTAAGCTAAGAGGCAAACACACAAGATTTAGCCTTTCAACATTTCACAAGGTTTAATGCTATTCTCACCAGTGCTGTTTTGGAGGAGGAAGGGGGTAGCATTTAATGGAACATACATTTTAAACTGGTTCAGTTTTCTTATTGATACCCAGCATGAAGATTTGGTTGAGGCTTTTATGTAATTCTCTGGCACAAAACTACTTA